CGTCAGATTTGGAGAGGCCCTTCATCCCGGACCCTCCTTATGCATTGGCACCACCAACCCGAGCGGAGCCTATGGCAAGGCCCAGTACCTGGCGGATCTTCCTCCCGGCATTTGGAATATCAGTGAGACACATCTCACAGCAGCGAACACCAGAACATTTGACAAGCAGCTCAAGTTCCAAGCCAGCCAACAACACCGCCGCCTACGGTCCCTTTATGGAGCTCCTGCCCCTCTCCGCACCGGCTCCCAGGTGGCCGGATCATGGACAGGAGTGATGCAGTTTGCTGATCTACCTGCCCAAGCCATCAGTGTCCCCGGCCTCGCCGACTACTTCCAGCAAAGCAGACTTCAACTCTCGCGGTTCTGGATTGGGGACTTCCAGATCAGCGGCTTGAACCTGTACGGTTGGCCAACTTCCCCCACCTGGCCAGGAGCCAGAACATTGACGGAGAACATGCTCCAGTCCGTCTCCCAGGAGTTCATCATCGGCATGCAAGGTCTCCGCTATGTCGCAGGAGACTTCAACCACCCTGAATCCCTGCCATCCATCCAGGGATGGCTTCAAGCGGGATGGGTCGAGATTCAGTCCCTTCATCACCAACGTTCGGGCTACGTCCCCCAGGACACATATCGTGGCATGTCGCGCCCTGATCGGCTCTACATCTCGCCCGAACTTGCAGCATTCTTCACTGCAGCTCACTACGAAGCATGGTTTGCGGATCATGGAGCCCTTCATGGTGTTTTCCAGATACCGGACAATCACCCCAGCTACTGGGCATGGCCACTACCAGCACAGCTACCATGGGAGGAAGCCGACATTCAGACCTGGCATGCATCCTTCCAACCCAACCTCAACGACACCCAACCAACCCTGGACCCCACTTCACACTACAAGCACTTGGGCTACCTCTATGAGACTAGCCTTGATCACCACCTGTCCGAGCACTCGCACATACGCCTGCCACCTGCCTGGTTTGGTCGAGGCCAACGCCTCCAACCAGTACGGAGACAACCACAAGCTCCGATCCTTCGATCCAGTCGCCCAGGAGAAGAGCATTTGGCTTCCGATGTCATCAGCCGGGCTGTACTCAGATGGTTTCGACAACTACGACGTCTTCAGAGCATGCACCATGCCCTCAAAGCTGGAGGCCAAGGCCCTACGCACCAACTCTACCGGACCGAGCTCTGGCATGCGATACTACACGCACCGGGCTTTCAGCCCACTTTCTGCGAATGGTGGCCCACTAGGAAGCACCAGTTCCAAGGCAGCCCACCTCACCTGCCACTCTATGCTCCATCCCTCGACCTCATGCACAACATCTACAACGACTTCCGCTACAATTTCCGGAGCTTTGAAAGCTGGAATTTGCGCCAGAAGTCGAAATGCAACCAAGCTCGACTACAGCAACATCACCACCGCATCTTCAAGGCTATCAAACCAGCCATGAGGGAACCCATCGATCGCCTGGTCGAGAAACACACCGTCGCCATCCTTGCGGTCTCAGCGGATGGCACGCAGATCCACACTGATGCCTCGTTGGAAAGCAGGCCATATGCCACCTGGTGGGTGGATGGGACGCCCGCCACCGTCAAACAGCTCTCCCAGGACACCTTCGAGGTTGAGTCGGATCTCCTGCTTGTCAAGGGACAACAGCTACACCAGCACCATCACCTGTCCTCCGAATCTCAGATCCACTCTACGCTGGAACAGTTTTGGCAGAAGCGATGGTCCAAACATGCTGACCTACCTCAAGAAGCCTGGAAGCGCATCTTTGGCTTCGTCAAAGCCTACGTTCCCAAGGGCGCCATCGACCTACCACGCCTTCAACTTCCCCAATGGGATAACACCCTCAACAAGTTCAAAGCTCACGCCGCCCGAGGGCCAGATGGCTACGGACGCCTCGACCTCATCAACATGCCACCTCAACTCAAGCAAGCGCACCTCGATCTACTTCACCGCATTGAACGTGGTGAACAATGGCCTCAGCAGCTTCTGAATGGCCACGCCCACGGCCTTGCCAAGTGCGTTGATGCCGAGGAGGTCTCACAGTACCGACCCATCATCATCCTGAGCATGATCTACCGCACCTGGTCCTCCATTCGTGCCAGACAGGGACTTCAACAGCTCGAGCAGCTCATGGACTGCCCGGCGTTTGGCTTCTTGCCCACTAGAGAAGCCCAGGAGATCTGGCTCCCCTTGCAGGGCCTCATTGAACTACGAGCACAACAATCGCAGCCATTGGTTGGCTGCGTTGCTGACGTTGAGAAAGCATTCAACCACCTGCCGCGGGGCCCGATCAAGCAGATTGCCAAACATGTTGGATTCGACGCGGATTTTGTCGAAGCATGGCATCGCTTCCTGCTCGGCTTTTCGCGACGTTTCAAGATCCGGGACACGGTGGGCTCTCCTCTCTTCTCCAACTGCGGATACCCAGAAGGCTGCCCATTGAGCTGTCTGGCCATGGCCCTCACCGACTGGTGCTACCATTTGTACCAAGCGCACTTTGCCCCGCGGGCCACATCCATTTCCTTTGTGGACAATCTGGAGATCTTGGCTCCTACCCCGGGAGCCCTTCTACAAGCCATGGTTGCTCAGGAGACCTTCCTGGACATGTTTCAGCTCAGCATCGACCTTGACAAGACCTACCTTTGGGCAGTCCATCCGCGTGATCGCCAACAACTCGGCCTCCTCAAGCACCGCATCAGCCTGAAGGACAAAGATCTCGGCGGACACATGACGTATGGCCCGCGCAGGCGAGTTGCTCATCATTCCACCTTGGTACAAAACCTGCAACCAACATGGTCTTTGCTCCGACGGCTTCGTGCTCCCGGCTTATGCAAAACCCATGTATTGGTTCAATCCATGTGGCCCAAGATATTCCACAGCGCCCCCATCGAGGACTTCTCCCTCCAGCTTATCAAGCAACTACGCACTGCAGCGGTTCGCGCACTTGGGCATGGCAACGCAGGCGCCAGCCCTGCCATTCGACTCAGCCTTTTGCAAGGCAACACCCTCGCCGATCCAGGCTTTTACCAGCTCTGGCATGTTGTGAGGACCTTTCGCAGGATGCTTCTGAAGCAGGCCGCGCTTCTGGACATGTGGCATCAGTTCCAGGCCTCTTTTGATGGCCACTTCTACGCCGGCCCCTTCTCGGTGTTGATTCGCCAACTCAACGCCGTATCCTGGAAGATCGAAGCTCCACCTTACCTCACCGATCACGATGGCCTTCAACACAACATCCTCACCATTGACCACCACTACCTTCGAAGCATCCTTGAGGACGCATGGCGCCAACGTGTGGCCTTGGACGCCTCCACCAGAACCGACCTCCAAGGACTACAAGGAGTCAACTGGCCTGCATGTCGGCACCTTGGCGCCCACCACACAGCCTTGCAGTCCGCCCAGATCTGCGCACTTCGCGAGGGTGCCTTCTACCTCAACACCCACAAGGCCAAGTATGATTGCTTCATCTCTGCCACTTGTGCCAGATGCCTGCAGCCAGACACTGTAGACCACAGATGCCTACATTGCCCGGGCTTCTCCATAAGTCGAGCAGCACATCCCGAAGCACTTGCACTATGGGAAGGAACTCCGATCTCACTTCGTGAACGACTACTTCCACCTCGCAATCCTCACCATGGTCAGCTACGCCGCTACCTGCACTCCCTCCACGAGAAGCCGGTTTCCTTCGAGATCCTTGGTGACCGAGCGCAGGACACCCATGTTTTCTCGGATGGCACTTGCACATCTCCAACGTACAGCCCACTGTCTCTAGCAGCTTGGTCAGTCATATCGGCATCCCGGCAGTCACGAATTGCATCTGGACCGCTCCCTGGCGAAGTACAGTCCAGCAACCGAGCGGAGCTCTACGCAGCCCTCATCACTGCGCAGTGGACCAAACGATGCAGGTGCCGAACACATTTGTGGACGGATTCTGCATACACCGCAACCGGGATTTGGCAGCTTCAACAAGCCCCGGATGACATCCCAAGCCGAACCAACGCGGACCTTTGGCAGCAGCTCTCTGCCACTCTGGCCACACTTGGTGAAGGCCAGCTTCTGGTGCATCATACAGCTGGCCACAGCATCCCCGCCGAGATGGACGACCCTGTTGATGCTTGGCTGGCGCACTGGAACAACGTTGCTGACTATGCAGCCAAGGAGGCAAATCGCCGGCATTCTGAAGAGTTCCACACCCTCTGGACGGCGTACAGCCAAACTGAGCGAGATCAGCTGCATCGCCTAGCATGCCTTCAAGAGCTCCACCTTGCAGTCGCAGCTACCAACGCTGAGAACCAGCCCACAGCTGCCGATGGCTTTGAGGAATACGACCTACCTGCCGATGCTGATCCTGAACCCGATTCAGGAGAGGCTCTCGTGAGTTGGCCTGAAGTTTTGAGCCCGGACTGGGCCCAATCACTACCCGGTTCGCGCATCGAATTCAAGTTTGATTCGGGCTTCCCCAGGCAAGCCATCACTTGGCTGCTACAGGAAGCTGAACAGGCGACCCTCGCCTCGCACATCTCATGGCTTGAGGTTGCCGTGATGATGAGACTTGCGTCTCTTAGCATGCCGGTTCCCACCTCGCACACCAGCGGCGAGATCTGGAGGAACCCCAGCCCCCTCTTGGGTGTCCAAACGACCCTTGCCTCGGACATTCGCATGACTCGTTCCTTTTTCCGGTTGGTTGCTGTTCATTTTGATTTGGACATCCAGGAAGTTCGGGGCATTAACCTGGCCTCTCTTGGGGTTGCTCCCCCGCAAAGCGGTTTAACCCTCAAGCTTTCCACCCTGGTTAAACACCAGGCGCGCCAGGCCCTTCGAACGTTCTGTACAGGCAGGCCCATCAGATCGGCCAACGATCTGTCACGGCCTTTCAGGCAATGACCCTGATCGCGCTCGAAGAACTCGCCCGCTGCACTGCTCGCGCTGTGCACGGGCACCAGACACGTGTGAATGACCCTCGCTTCGAATTGCTTGCCCTTCCCTCGATCCCGTCCTTGGCCACAGGATTGGCCCGCTCCTGAGCGCCAACGATCTCGTGATCCGATGCCCTATTTCAAGCTCACCGACCAAACGCGGCAAAAATTCGTGCGCACCCGGGACTTTTGGGAGCCAATTCGTGCTTTTATCTGGGCCGCCCAAACCCATCCCCGGCTAAAAGTGGCTAGCTTTTAGTGGGTTAAATGGAAACCCCTGCTAAACCCTACAAAGCTTAAAAGCTGAGGGGATGGCTGGGAACCACGAAGTTATAGGGTTTATGTCTGGAAGGGTCTTTGAAACCACCCCATTTGGGTGACCATGTCAACCCATTTTGCTGGGTCTACCATTTTGAGACAATGCCATATTTGACCGTAGAACCAACCGACGATGGAGATCAGATGAGTCATAAGGAAAGCCCGGTATACTGGTCTACCCAAGCCGGAATTCAAAGGCACCCCCTTGCGGCTTGTGAGGGGCGGACTATCCTTGACCTTCTACCCGGGTTTCTTCAGGCGATGGCTCGCAGTCTGTGCGCCAGCGTGCGAAAGCTCAACGCGCAGACGGTCTGAGCTCAAGGCCATGAACTGTGGCGTGATCTTCTTCTCGGTGGTTTCCAGCAGGGCCGTGACCTGCCGGAACCCTTCGACAGCTGGGCGTTTTTCGACGAAAGAAACAATGGTCGGGGGTTGCTTGCTTTGGCTAAAACAAACCAAACACGGGGGCCATAGGTTTTGGCACCTCGGCAAATGAAGGAAAAACGAGAAGAAAAACAAAGGCGACATGTGGCAAACTCAAAGTTTGGCAAAACCACAATTTGGCAAGAGCGCAAGTGATAGATAGGTCTCCTGGTTCAGCTGCTTCTGGAGCCGCTGCAGCTCCTGAGGAGCGGCTTTTGGTTTGTTTTGGCCCACGTGAAAGGCCTCAAATACCCTTGGCTCCTTCTCAACATCGATCTCCTGCTTTGGCACGGGCATGTCAACCTGCCAGGGCGACTCTGCAAGAGAAATTAGCGTCTAGTAGTCTAGCAGGCAGATGTGATGCCAATACACTCCACCCAACCTCGATTTCCTCCGTGATGACCACACGAATGCATCCCTCGGGCCTGAGTCCCAGATTTTGGAAGAAACTCAGTGGGTTGAAGTGAGATCTGAGTGCGGAGAGCGCGCACTTCCCGAGCCGAGAACACCAAGAAGGGGTCCAATCATCTTAAGATTACTTGCTGTGATGCGATCAGCTTAAGTGGTTGGAAGCCCTTTCAAACAACTTAGGGGACTGGGCGAGAATTTAGGGACCTTTGGTGGCCGTCATTGGATTCTTTGCCACCAGCCACCTTCGAGGTGTTTGTAGGCCACGAATTCGTCGCTGCCGACTGCCACTTGGGCGCGGGGCGTCTCGCTGGGGCGCTGCGACATCTCCTTGGCCTGGATCTGCTTGGGATCCGCCCGCGCCAGCCAGGCAAACGCGGCGCCTCGGGTTCCCAAATTCCATGGAAGCAGGTTCTTTTCGGGTCCATCCCGTGCCTTTATTTTCCGTGGCTTGGCGGATGAATCTCGAAAACGGTTTGGATGTGGCGAATCTGTGGATCCACCCCTGGATACTAAAAGATATGAATTACTAAAACAAATGAAATCCACAAAAAGCGCATCCTTTCCCGGTTTGATTTTTGTTGGATTCCAGCTGGTTTGCGTTGAGAGCAGCTCGTGCCCCCCTTGTCCCGAACAAACTGGGCGAGGGCAAGGCCAAGGAATCCGGAATGACCGGCCCAAGTGGCTGTAGACTCCTTTTTTCTACGTCCACTTGACAAAAAACTTACATAGCCAGTTGAGGGACTTACTGGCTTACTATCTGGGTGTGATTCTGAATAGGGGACCTTTTGATGGACATCATTTAGCTGAGGACTCATGTCCACCAACCACTTCGTCACTTGTGCTGTGGTTCCTCATCAAAGTGCAGAGCCATCTTGGTGTCTTTTTTGAGACCATGCACCCATTTGTAGTGGTTTTAAAGGAAAACCAAAAGCAGACCGAAGCCATTTGGGTGTGGCTCAAAATAAAGAGCTAGGGCAAACTGCAGGTTGTAGTCTCTGGCTTCATTTACCATGGACTCCAACTTTTTTAGCCACAGCCTTTTTTGTTTTGGGGGGGGGTCCCACCTTGAAAAAACCGACACAGACCCATCCAGTTCACCACTCAACTGGTTGAGTTTCTCTCAGGCGACGGCTCTCAGACTCCAGCGCCTCCTGGGTCAAGGGCCAAGCGCTTTACTGTTTGAAAGGAAACCCAAAGGGCTGTGGCGGTCAAAAATCGGCTAACCCCAAAGTGGGGTTGCCCTGTCGCATGTCGAATACCCTGAAGAAACACCTTCAAGTTTTGCTCACCGATTTGGCGGCTTCCGCTGCGTTGGCTTGTACAGGCCCCTTTCGAGGTGTCACAGTATGACCCGCGGCCTGAAGTGCGGTCCCCATACCAACATGCTTTCTCTCGCACCGTTTTCCGACGTTGGCTTCAAAGGCTCGGCGAAGGACAGTTGCCAACTGGTGCTCGTCTGCAAACGCAAGGCCTGAAAGGCAAGGACTCCCAACAACTGTTCAGAGCCTGTGCAGCTTGTGAGTTTTCTTTCTCTTCGTCGGTAGCGTTTTTGCTTAGACTCTTGCTGATGCTGCACGGGAAAAGGTTGACAGATTTAGGGAGGATTTGCGCTGTTGATGAGAATGTCTTCATCAGAGCAAAGGCATTGAATCGAGATTGGAGCTCGACTATCCCCGAAGGAGGTCGTTTTCGAACAGCATGTGGTGCGGATTGCGTGGGGAAGAAAGACCCCCAACTTGGCCTCGGTGCTCCCCCTTCAACCACGAAAAAAGGTACCCTCAAAACAAGCCAGACCCATATTGTGGGTGTGTCTCAAAATAGGGCATCCCCGCAAAATGTTGGATTGCCTTTTGGTCTCCCTTTGAACCGACCCCCAAAAGGGCTAAACCAAAAAACACACCCACATGACCTTCACTTATCTTCGGGGGACCGAGTGCTTTGCTGTCCTGGAAGGCGGCATCCGCACACCAAAAGGTCAGAGGTACTCGCTCCTGAGCAAAAGTCACGTCGTGACTCCATTTGGCCATGGTTCAAAACCAATGGGATCCCGTTTTGGGGTAGGTGACTTCACCACCTATTTTAGTCTATTTTACTGGGGATTGGGATGTTCACTGGGGGTACAGGGTTTTGACCGATGGCCATTTACCAACTGAGGGAATCATGGTAGAGGACCCACCGACCAACCGACCAACCGACCAACCAACCAGCCGGCCAGGGAACCAGACCTAAGAAAAAAAGAAGAAGAACAAAAAATGCCCTAGGGAAACAAAAAACAAGTAAAACACGCCGAACCAGCTGGGGACCATCGCTTCGGCCGCTGGTGTAGAATAAAAAGGGCGGAGAGCCGTTAACGGCAAGGAAACCGTACCAACCTCCCTCCTCCCGGATTTAAATCGTGGCTGCACAGATTGACAGGGTTCCCCTATATTTCCCCATTGTGTTGATTTAAAGATCACGCCCATTAAAGCTAAGGTTCCCTTGGTAGGGGAATGATGCCAGGGGAAATAGGGGAACCCGGATTGAGCGCTCTTCTCGCGTCCTTTGGCGGGATACCCTGCTCTGCCCGCGCGTTCCGCACCGCCGAGGTCACGGTGCAGAACTTGGCAAACCAGCCTCCCATTCGGCGACTCAGGCCAAACCAGGGGAAGCCACGCCCATGGGATTCCAGGCAGGCTCGGTTGAAAACCCAGATATTTGTGCTCGAAAACCTGGACATACATATTATAATATATATATATATATATATTTAATATAATATATATATATACATATTATAATATCGATATTATCCCCAGTCCAAGTTCCCTTCAGCCTTCAGCTTCCGCATCTCGGGCCGTGTTTGCCCGTGGCCTCGCACGCAGCTCGCCACCCCGAGCACCGGACCGGAGAACCCGAGCGCATCCGAGCGCATCCGAGCGCATCCGAGCGCATCCGAGCGCCACGCCAAGGGCTGATCATCAGAGACTCTGGGGACCTGGCGGGGGAGATCTGCCGGGAATCCAAGATCTGCCCATGTCCGGTGAAACCGAAGAATCTGAACCACCAATTGTCTTTTGCTGGGCCTGGAACCCTACATTTCCGGTGAAACCGAAGAGCTTGAACTGGCGATCGGTTCGAGAGATGGGAATGAGAATTGGTCTCTTACAAGCTCTTTGGACAGAATTCGGTGGGGATGAATGTCCACCAATCGCTTGTTTTGAGCTTGATCGAACCATTTATAGCCAGCGAGCAAAAGGACTCTGCGTCTGTTTGCTGCAGGTGCTAAGCATAGGTGTCCTTTTTGGGAAAATGGATGGCCCTGGGTGATTGAACCACCAGGTAAACCAGGAATCGCCCTCTATTTGTCCACCAAATCAGCCAAAAAGGACACCTATGGTGCTAAGGCGGCTGCGAGGCATTTCGTGGCAAGCGCTGCCACACGGCCTGCGCTTGCGCGGGGCATTTTCCGCTTGGCACTCGACCGCCAGAAAGCCAATGGACCGAGGGGGGACTTCGCTTCGTGCCTCGGTGACGAAGGGCATGAAGGGATGGAGAAGCTTCATGGACACCTTGGCGACTTCCCACTCAGGGTGCGAAGGGCTCTTGGAAACCCATATGTGTTAGGAAAACCAAGAAACAGAGATGCGTGGGTTCCCAGTGAACTCGCAAGCACAGGCTGCGCCCTTTCTTGGGAACCCACCTGGGCTCCTTCCTTCTGAGCCAAGTTGCTCAGTTGAGCCTTTTTGGGCTTGACGGGAAACCACATAAAAAAAGAAGAAAAAAATGCTCAGTTGCGCCTTTTTGGGTTTGGGAAACCGAATAAAAAAGATCCACCCTCGCTTCCCTGAATCGCTGGCAAGCGCTTCCCATGGTGTCCCATGCCTCCAGGAGGTACAAGAGCACCTTCTGGGAGGTCGCCGCCTGCTTGCTGCTGGGATCTCCGCCTCGGACGTGCGACATGTGTGATGTGCGTTACTATCCCGGAAAACCTCCAGAGGAAAAAACGAGGCGGCCAAGTCCAAACCCGCTCTCACCCGCTTTTTTTATACTTGAAAACCAGGCAGGAGTCCTTTGATTTCCTCTTCAATCATCACCCCGCCAAAAGGGAATTCGCTCTCCATTTACAGTGAGGTTTTAAAGCAAAACACGGACATATTGGGTGCGTCTTGTTTTGGAGGGTTCGCCCCTTTCCTGTAGTTTTGGAGAAAAGGAACATCACCATTTCAGGGGTCCAACCTTAGAAAAAGACACACCCATACTCCGAATCCTACCACATGTTCTGAGCACCTGCGCCCAAGTGCTCCTGCAGCCGCGTCTTGGACGCCTCCACCTGGCATTTAGATCTCAAGCGCACGGAGCAAAAACTAGCACCAAATGAGGCAGCACCACGTACCAAGCCGCAATATCCTCCTGCAAGAACTCTTTGATGTCCTGGCAGGTTCTGTTGGAAACCGAAAAACGACTACTTGGTCCATCTCGCACCTACCGCCAAGTGATGGGATCTGTCGCCTTGGTGGGAGGTGCGAAGCGGTTCTCCAGCAGGGCTGCGGTGACGCTCTCGCAGAGCCCATGGCACCTGTCATTTCTGGGAGATGGCCATTCGACCCATTTTCCCGTTGGGGGAGTTTTGCGGGGTTTCCAGGTGCCGCTAAAGCAACTAAGCCACCAGGGTATCATGGAAGACTTGGAGGTAGAAATGCTGGGTTACATACTCTTGTAGTGGAATCTGGAAGCAGTAGGAAACCTGAGATTCGTTCATAGCTCGTTGGCAACCATTGTGCAAAGATGTTGTTTTGTCAAGAACAGAAACCATGTCCCATGTTCCCTTTTGGGAAGACTGGAAAAAGAAATTGGGGAACCCCCCCCCCCGCTTGATTGCCGGAGTGGCGAGCGGTTTGCCCCGCGCTCAGGGCCAAATGTCGGTGGCGGGACCCCTGGTGGGCGGTTTCCTTTTGGTTGATCCAAGGCTGCGCTTTGGAGACGTGATCCTACAGAACCCCATCCCCTTCCCCCCTCCCCGGTTTGCTGCCGGGGTCCAAAGAACTGGGGCTGGGGCTTGGAGAGGAGCGCGCGCTCCAGCCAGGGCCTCGCAAGCTCAGACCGCCGTGTTCAATAGTCAGCTTCACTCTAGTTGGTTTGCCCGGTGATTTCGTGGGCTGGTTTCCATTTACCCACTCCAAGACCCAGAGTTCAAATTCCCCGTTTCCCGCCAACCCAAACCACGGTTTAGGGTTACCTGGAAACGGGGCTTCTCAAAGTAGACAAAAGAAAAAACATGGTATCATCAACCAATCCGGACCCTGTCCGCTTCTGGGTATATGTCCAAATGGGTTATTTCCTTTGGGGGTTGCACCACCAACCAAAAGTGCTGCTCAAAGAAACCACGAGTCATGAGTGTTTCTCAAAACCGGATTTTCTGACCCCTGATTTCTTGGTCTCAGGGGAAGCACAAGGAAAGCGTTGCCATTCTCGGGGACCACCGACTCCTGTTTTGCGAAACCCGCATGGTCCTCCGAAACATCGCCCACCTCCCTTGGAACAAACATGACTCATCCCGTAAGGGTCCAAGCAAAGGTAGGTCCAAAGGTAGGTGTAGCCAAAGGTATCCAACTTCAAGGGAGCGGCTTGCATCATGTCATGGAGGTTGTAAACGAAACACCTCATTCTTGTTTCGAGTTACTTTTCTGGGCTTGGAGACCTGTTCAGCCTCATCTCTGGAAAAAACGAAAACGCCTCACGCCGTGAGAAGAGGCTTAGCTAAGCCTCCGGCATGGCCGCGATCTCCTCCTCCGTGAATTGCATGCCGCTCTGGAAGGCCTCCATGGGTCAAAATCCCAAAGCCAAATCGGTTAGCCCCCAGTGAACGGGACCCAATCCAACCACTAAAACAGGTCCTAAGATGGGTGGTGAATTCACCTACCCCAAAATGGGATCCCATTGGTGTTTGACAACCACAGCCATTTGAATTCCGCCGCCATACCAAAAGGGTGGCTCCTCTCTTAGCTCACTTCCCATCGATGGCCAATCAAATAGGAACCAAACTGGCGGTGGTCCACGAAATTGGCCTTTCCAAAAAGTTTAAAGTCCGTGAACTCGGGAAGTGAGGTTAGAAATTCGATCTGGCAGTCCGAAGTTAAAATCGAGGTTCTTCAAACCGTCTGAGCCGTCTGCTGACTCCGTGCCCGCATTCTTCTCAGACTCGGTGATGATGAAGCGCCCCACGTTCCAAATCTTGTTGGCAAAGGCCTCCCAGACTCCCAGATGCCATGGACACGCTTCGCTCAAGAAAAACTCCCTTTGTGAGGGATCCTGAACACAGCGCTCTTGCGGCTCTTTCGGTGAGCAGGCAGAGTCTTTCTTCCCGCCCTCCCTGCCTTGGCATTCTCCAGCATGCCCTTGCTGATGGGAACATCCATCCCAGGCACCTCACCCAAAAGGCCGACCCCCAACCCTCAACGTTGGTCCCCGGGGCTTGAACGGCTTGCCATTCTTGACTCCCAACCACCGCAGGTAACCAAATAAAACCATCACGCACCTAGCAAGAAACCCCAATCAAATATTGAAAAAAAAAACACGCACCTAGTAAGAAACCCCACCTCTACCACAGCAGGTAACCAAATAAAACCATCACGCACCTAGTAAGAAACCCCACCTCTACCACAGCAGGTAACCAAATAAAACCATCACGCACCTAGCAAGAAACCCCAATCAAATAAAACCATCACGCACCTAGTAAGAAACCCCACCTCTACCACAGCAGGTAACCAAATAAAACCATCACGCACCTAGCAAGAAACCCCAATCAAATAAAAACATCACGCACCTAGTAAGAAACCCCACCTCTACAACAGCAGGTAACCAAATAAAACCATCGCCTAACACCTGGCAATAAGCCCAAAAAAAGGGACCCTTTCATCGCCGCACCTAGTAAGAAACTCCAAAAAGGAGAACCCTTTCATCGTGAAACGGTGCCCGGTGCACTCGAATTCCCCTGGGTGCCCGGCACTGCTGGTGAGCAGTGCGTATCTCAGCGCATCCGTGCCGTACTCCGCGATGGAGTCCAGCGGGTCCACCACGTTGCCTGCGGAAGTCTCAAAGCTCGTTTTTGCTCTGTGCCCTTCGGTTCCCTTCCGCTTCCCCCCCGCCAAAAAAAAAGAAAACAAAACAAAATTCACCACGCCCCCAGAAAGGGCCACAATACCACCAAAAAGCTGGCCATGGGTCTTTGCTTTCCCCAAACCCGCGCATTCGGCTCTGCCGCGAAAGGGGGCGGCCGAGCTCCGCCTTTGGTCTTGCTCATCTTCTGGCCCTTCTCGTCCCGGACCAGGCCGTGCAAATAGATCTCCTTCAAGGGCGCCTCCGGAGGTGGCTCGAGAGGCGGTCCGCACCCAAAATGGGTTACCCTGGTATGGAACCAAGAACTGGAATTTTTGTGGTCATCCTGGCTTAACTTTTGGACCCATTTCCAGATTTAGGTAAGCTGGGCGAATTGTAGTGATTGGCCAACCTGAAATAAGGTGGTTGGGGGGCTTTTCCCCACATAAACCACCATTTGGGGTGCGGTCGTGTGAGGCCGTTATAATTCACTTTAGGTGCCCTCCCACCCTTTTCACATGGAACCGTTCCACGTTCGGGGAATCGGTCCTGGTTTGGACCCTTTTCACATACCTGGAATCGGTCCTGGTTTGGACCATCTTCCTTTTAAAGGGACCGGGTCCTGAACGGCAGGGTGGGAGGGTAACCCCAAAATGGGTTACTCTGGCGGCTTAATTTTGACACACACCCATGTCGCGTGAAAAAGTATATTTATACGGACCGGGCCTTGTCTGTAAGCGTCAGACCCATCATCACCATGCGTGCCACCCAGAAGAATAGGATGTCCTGGCGCCGTTGTGCGTCAAGCGTCTCAAGCTGTGTGAATGATCCATGAGAAAGTCCCATGTCAGGAACCCTCACGAGGCTTTCATCGCACCATGGCGCGCTTCAAGCGAGGCCGCGCCACATATCCGGTTTCCATCATGGTGGCCTTGGTGAACCGAATCGGAACGAATAAAGACATTTGAGGTTTCTCACAGTAGGGGCCTGGAGGGGTGCCCCTTTTGATATCCAAATTGATCCAAAAGTGGGGGGGGCTCTGTTTTTTGAGACACCTCCATCTCTAGGGCCGAAAAGACCAGCCACGCACCAACTCCAAAGAAGAAAAAAAGCTGCCCCACATTGAAAACCCAAAAACGGCGCCAACTCAAAAAATACTTCGCTTCGAGCAACCCCCGCCCTCCACTGTGTCAAACTCCACTTGTCTGCGAGGCGATCTCGAGAACTCAAACATCGGTTCCGTTAACAAAAGCCAAGCCCCTTCCAAAAAGAAACCCGACGGGGGATTCAACGAAGCTGCTTATTCACAACCCAAAGCAACACAAAAACATCACCCTTTCCGAGCCTCAGGGTACACTCAAAACATGAAGGCACCAACATGAAATGTAAACCCAACTGTGCGCCGGGCGGGACATTCAGCAAATCCAGACTGGCAAGCTGCTCTGGCGGGATACTGGCGGGATCCGGCTCGATACTGGCCGGATACTCGGCAGGATCCACCGGTAAAGGGCACTCAGAAGGATACATCCGCTGGCGAGCTACTCTGGGATACTCAGCGGGATGCTCGGCGGGATCCACTGGCGGGCTGCTCTGGTGGGAGCTCTGGGATACTCAGCGGGATACTCGGCGGGATTCACTGGCGGGCTGCTCTGGTGGATACTCGGCGGGATCCACTGGCGAGCCGCTCTGGCGGCACTGGCGAGCAGCTCTGCCGGGATACTGGGCGGGATCCACTGGCCAGCTGCTCTGGCGGGATACTTGGCTCTGGCCGGATACTCGGCGGGATCCACTGGCGAGCCGCTCTGGCGGGATACTCGGCGGGAGGCGGGATCCACTGGCGAGCAGCTGTGGCGAGATACTGGGCGGGACTGGCAAGCAGCTCTGGCGGGATACTGGGCGGGATCCACTGGCCAGCTGCTCTGGCGGGATAATTGGCTCTGGCCGGATACTCGGCGGGATCCACTGGCGAGCCGCTCTGGCGGGATACTCGGCGGGAGGCGGGATCCACTGGCGAGCAGCTGTGGCGAGATACTGGGCGGGACTGGCAAGCAGCTCTGGCGGGATACTGGGCGGGATCCACTGGCCAGCTGCTCTGGCGGGATACTTGGCTCTGGCCGGATACTCGGCGGGATCCACTGGCAAGCTTCTCTAGCGGGATACTGGGCGGGATCCACTGGCCAGCTGCTCTGGCGGGATACTTGGCTCTGGCCGGATACTCGGCGGGATCCACTGGCGAGCTTCTCTAGCGGGATACTGGGTGGGGGCGTGGTGTAGAAGCATTGCAAACGCGGAGTCCAACATAAAATCAAACAACCCCTTCCTGTCGGGTGGGGAACAACAGCTGCTCCAAATGTTGCGGCATCCGGATAAAAACATCCTGGGGCAAGGGCCGGGTAAAACTTCTGGTAGTCCGCGCTGCTTTCATCTGGCCAGCCCACCGTGGCGAAGGGCCACAGCCCTGACCTTCGCAAGCAAAACGCTCGGCAAATCTCTGCCCGTCTCCCGTTTTCCGATCCCGTAAAGTGACAAACGTTTAGTGGGTTAAAGGGAAGCTACCACTAAACAAAAGCTAGAAAGCAAGGCTAAGGCATCGGATGGCTGCAAATCGCCACCAAGAAATGGTCCAAAATGGCGGACCATACCCGTGCCTGGCATCAAAAGGTTTGGCTTGAACGAGTACCCTTGCCCCCAAGCATCAAAAGGTAGGATGGTTTGGACAGGGCCAGCCGAATTACGACTCACCTGCCTGGTAAACCGATCAAAATGCACAGAGGATTGGGCTTGCCATGTGATTTCCTTCTTTTTTGAGGGCACCCCTGTTTTGGTGATTTCAACATGAAACTAAAATGAAACCATGATTTTGGAGGTTCCCCCCGAAAAAAGAGCACAGATGTTTGGGTTTCTTCTTTGCGGGCTGCTTTGAAGTTTACCCCTGATTCATAAACCCACATTTATTCCTCAATGGGAACAAGCCCGGGAAAGATTCCCCACTAGAAAACGAGTCCCCCTAAATAGGATTTAATAAGTGGGAGACTCGTTCATCAGGAGTCAATATGTCCGTTTTGGAAGAAGCCACGGAGAACCTCTCAAATGTTGGTCGTATGTTGACTCATGCCCACATCTGGCGTCCCAGGCGAGAACCAAGTGTCCAAGACATCGTCCTCCTGCTTCAACTCCACATCCTTCGGCGCCGATTTGAGCGAAGGCCCCTAGAAGGAGGCTGACTTTCATGAAAAAAAACATATTGGCAATCAGCAGGGCTTCAGAATCGCGTATGCAACAGGACGTCGTGCAAAACCAGGATCAAATATCGTCATTCTCAAGCTGTGTGCACTTGCACCTTGCCTCGCCGAGCTTCTCTCTTGCAGCCTTCAGCGCCTGCAAACCACCGAGCCCCGAATGCGAGCGCACGGCTTTCTCCGAAGCCGGCGCGGCGCTTTTCCCGTGCCGCAGGCACCCGCGGGCGGTAGATGTGTGCCGCCCGTGGTGGGCTCGGAGCCGGATGGCCTAAGCAAAGTCAACACCGTCAACAGAGCTGGGCATGGGTCAAAATCGAACCACCAGATGGACCGCAGCTTTCCGGCCAAACCCATTTACCAAAACCTTTTTGGGTACCAGTTTGTGACTCCCAGAGCCAGCCGAAGCCGAAGACGATCCAGCCTCAGCTTCCGATGCGGCAGTCTTCGCAGTCAGGAGCCGGAAGTTGGACAGCGCCTGCGAACTCGTCTGTGCCTACGCCGTCCTCGCGCTCCGTGGATATTCGTTGGCTCAGGAGAAAAAGTCAAAGTTGGCGTTCTTTTTGCGCCAGCTTCTTGGTTAGGTTTGCTGCCGCAGCCCTTGCCCTGACAAGTCCCCACCATGAGACGTTCTTTTTAGGCTGGAAAGCAATTGTTCGCAAGGGCTTTTTCAACGCAACAAGTATCTAAGTGTTTGTGCTGGCAAAAACTGTGCTCTATTTGCTACAAGCCATTGATTGCTTGGGCTTGCATGCTCTCTGTGCCAGGTCCCACCATTCCTGAGAAAAGCCCAGGCACGATCTCTGACGCGCCCAAAACAGCCACCAAACAATCCGGGCTCCGCAGCCCCAAAGATGCATGTCTAACACACCGAGGCGAGCCTGGGTTGAGTTCGTTTCCTGACTTTACACCCAAAGCCCAAATCCACGAACGAAGCGGCTTTCCCAAAGTCTTTTCATCTCATCTCTCCGCCAATGCCGTGCGGCACTGGCGGCCATGACTCTCGCAATGGTTAAAACTTAGGGAGCCGGGCCCCGTGTCCTGAGTTCAAACGTGCGCGTTTCTGGCCGCAGGGTGGCTCCCTGCTTCTGGTGTTTCCTTCGTGCTTCTTATGGCTCTACGGCCTTCTGGTGCGGGCCCTTAGGGCCGGCACATTCCACAGAAAAACCGCCAGGGGTAGCATGACCCCCAGAACAAAAAGAAACCTGCGGAACAAGAAGTCCAGCTCCGCAGAGGCGCCAAAGTTCATGACCTCATATGGAAGGCCCACAAAGACAAACATCGCAGCGATTTGCAGCAGCAGAAGCAGCGCACCGAAAAGGTTCACTGCCCTGTCACACCAGGGATCGCGCTTCTTCTGCAGTTGCAGGGTGATGAAATCACTCCACGCTACATGGAGTGGGCCACCGGCCAAGATCCAAACAAAGGGCAAGTACAACATCCAGAGCTCGGCCTCGCCCGGCAGCCTCCCATTTTCCTGGGCCGCAGCGCCTAAGCGATCCATGGACCAGAACAAAGTCGTGCTGCAGCCGCCCATCACAAAGGCATAGGAACACGAATGTGTGCCAAGCTGGTCAGAGAAGAGCTGCGCAACCTCTGTTTGCACTTGAGTCTCGAAGTTTTCCGCTGAGCCGAACCAGCTTTCAACCAACTGAGTCAAGACTATCCTGTCGCATCCCATCGGCTTTCCACGTCTATCAATATGGTTCACACCGCAGCAATAACATTTGGCACGTGTCAATTGAAACTCTCGCAAACGCATCCGCGCCAAGCGCTTCTCACGATGCTGACGGCGCTGATGGTCAACCACGAAGTAGAGCAAAGTGAGTGGGACAATGCTCAGGCCTTGTGCCAATGGTGTTGCATTTAGGGTAGGGGCCATGGCGTGGGTGAGGTGCAGCAACATCAGGGTCAAGTGCAGAGCCACCACCGCCGGGCCTCCACAGGTCGCAAGTATCTTGACTTTGGCCCTCTCCTTTCTGCTCTTGATGAATGCGGCCAACTCATAGACGCACCAAAAACGGTCAGTATAAGTTTCGTCGAAAAGGATCAGCAGCTCTTGAGATGCTTTCAGGAAGCCGCCCATGCTCGCAATGGATTTGGATCTCATGGATCTATCGAACTTGTTGATGCAAATGCTATCCACGAAGACGCTGTGCCGAGGCCGCCAGAGCAGGAAGGTGACGGCGATGGCCAGGAATCCGGCAGACTGGCATTGAAAGTGCAGGGTGTAATTGGGGATTAAGGGGTGTTCTACTACTGGAAAAATGCCGAAGCCCAGAAGCATCATCGTGAGAAATGCCGCCAGGTGCCCAGCTACGATGGCAAAGGGAGCATTGAAGGCCGCCATGAGAGTCAAGGTCTTCTTCCAAGGCTTCTCCCTCCAGCTGTGCGACCAGAACTGACGGATCCCATTGACTGGCCGGCTCTTGTCAAAAAGATTGCTTCCCCCCCGGAAGGCTTGGCCAAACCCGCTCAGCGCATGATGCGCTGTGGTGGCCCGCAGGAGATCGGGATGTGCAACTTCCATGTTTTCCATGAACTGATGCAACGCCCGAACGACATTGGATGCGCCCACCCTGGTCGGAGTGACCCTCACTGGCACGTCCTCTTCGGGCTCGGCCATGGCTGCCTTCACTCTGGAGCCAGAATGAATACTGGCAGGCGCTCAGTGGCTCTGAAAAGGCTTTATGCACACTAATTGTTGCTGCGTCAATTCAAGCATTCCCAAAGCGAATGCTGCCATGGATGATGTCAGACACGGCAACAATGAATCTTGTTCTTTTCTTGGTTCTTACGCGCCCTACATTGAAAGCCGTCTACCTCTGAGATCCTTGCGACATCTGCCGACATCTGGGTTCCAAATCGGGGGGCCCCCTCCAATTGAACCAGCCTAAGAAGGGGGTCCTCACAGCCAAAGCGGTGTGTGCCAAAGCGAGTTCCACCGGAATTCGAGACTCGCCAAGCATTCGAACAAGTCCTTTTTCTGGCATTCGACAACGGTTTGGAGGCGCTTTTTGCGCTGGTTCTTTGTCAGGATCTTTTTTTACTCCTACAGGGGTGGATCCACAAAGCCACGTCCAAACCGTTTTCTAGACTATATGTTTCTGCACTCAGGCTGGGGCCAAGTACCTTTGATGTGAACATCGCACTAAAAGCATCACATATTCAGACAGAACATGGGGGGAATTCCTTTCCGGCTCTATCCCTCCCGCATTCGCATCTTGCAGAACCAGCCTGCGAAGTGCGGTCACGCTTTCTGCGTTTGCATCTTACCAACAGAACAGGAAACCACCCGTCTCTTTGGCATGCAGAAAAGGCGGGCCACCTCTGCCGCCTTGCGCAGAAACAAGGAAAAGCCGGCGCGACCCATGCCGCGTCCAAGGTGCGACCCTCGCAATCGCACAGCAACCTGCGTCCTTTGAGGCGCCTGAAGAACAAAACTTCCAAAGCACCCGGGAGTCACCAAGCACAATGTAGGCCGGGCGCAGCATGGCAGAATCACCCGGAGGAAATCTTGCCCAAAGTGCGCGGATTGTGAGGGGCAGGTTGCAGGTGCAAATGGTGCGCAAAGGTTGCATGGACATGTGTCATGTCGTATATTTCTACATGGCTGTGGGTCAAAAATCGGTACCCCAAATGGAACCCTAGTAAGTGGAAACATGGACCAAAACCTGCAGTTCCCTTGTGGTTTAATTTTGACCCATACCCACATCCTGCTTCGACCACAACAAAAACAGTTCAGGGCACACGGGTGGCGATCCAACCAGACCGGGCCTATGCTGCGCTTGCCGGGCGACAGCCGCAGCTCCAAATCCTCCGCAGATTCGGTTTGTCTCTACATCTGACCCCCTGAAAAAGGGTTGGTGTCCTAGCCTTCCTATGCGGTTTCCTTTCAAAACCAACCAAACTTGACTCACACTCAAAGCCCAGAATTAGAATCGTCCACCCAAAACCATGTTTCAAGAATTGAGACCGCGACACCCATTTATGGCAAGGGGACTCTCCCTTCCCCGCCAATTGTCCCCGGCTTAGGCCGTGCTTCGGGGTGTCCCGGATTCCCCCGATGGCCTCCCTTGGGATGAATCAACCCGCGCTCGTTGCCAGCCACGCGTCGGCCAGGCTCAGCACGCCCGCGTGGTTGCTGCCGTCCGCAAAGGTCCAGAAGGGAATCGCCTCCACCCCCGCCTCCCGACACCTCGCGAGCCGCGAACGGCGCGAAGCGCGAAATGCGCGGGTGGCATGAGCTTCTTAAGGCATAGCCAAGCAAGAGCTCTACACTTAGCACACTATTTGTTTAGGTGATGTTGTTTTTCAAGGGTACCTTTTTTGGGCGATGTTAGGGATTCCCAAAAAAAGCAAAAATCCGAGGGCGGCCCTAAAAAAAAACCGACCCAGATTGACATTTGGAGACGTCCCAAGTCGGCTATGTCGGCTATGGGGTTCGATGTGCTAGCTGATCGGTACTCATTGAGGGAACTCAAATGGACGCACCCAAAAAATCACAAGGTTCTTCTGCTTAAGCGTAAAAGTAGCTGTCACGATTCTCTATGTGTGGGCAAACAAATGGGATGGCTAAACCAAAGTGGGGGTTTCATCAGTGCAAATGGGTTGGCAGCTAGTCAAAGGTTGGTACAATACATGCGGATTCAGAAGCCTGATTGCATTACTGCCCTTCAGCTAGCTTCTGAAGCAAATCCAAGGCACTTTTGCGGCTGAGCGAGCGAGTGGCCTAAGCCGTCAAACGGACAAGCTACTGCAGCCATGCTTCAGTGCGCCGCTATGCTTCGTTCAGCGCGAGTTGTCTCATGTAGGGAGTCACAAGCAGCTGAGTCAACTGGCAAAAAGCCAGTTGATCGTGCCTGTAATGCTGCCTATCGCCTGAGGATCGCGCGAGCATCGCACTCCACATAAGGCACCTTGCCACACAAGTTGCACCATTCGTGACGTTTTGGTCCACGCGCTCAGCAACATGTCGCTTGAACTTCCTTGGCCTTTCCGACCCTAGCAACATGCGATTGGAGATTCAAGTAGCCCTTAGACACTTCCTGGGTCTGCCAATTCTTTTGGGGGCTGCCGTTTCGGAGGTTGGTTTAAAGGGCTTTCCCGACCGGCAAACCGAAATGCCCATTCTTAGGACGTCCAACCTAGGCACTCCCCCATCTTCGCCCGGCCATCGGGGCTAACGTCTGGGGCCCAGGCGTTGCTCCAGGCATTGCCGAAGAGCTGGCGCTGCGCATCGCAGGCGGGGCACCAGAACGTGCCGTAGAAGGTGGCGCCCCCTGCGGCTGAGGCAAATGATACCCCCCTACCCCAAAACGAAGCATCGAAAACCAACAATGGCCCTCAGAGCTTCTCAAAAAAAAAAACAAAAAACGGAAAGTCTTGCAAGTTGTGTCGATGCAGTTGAAACCCAGGCGGTGCTGCCTTTGTGATTGAGATCAGCGACGACATCAGTGACGACATCGGCCAGAAATCGGTGTGCGCTACGCTCGAAGCTTTAGTTCCGGATGGAAGACACGGCCAGTGGCTGTGGCTGTGCATGTCGCTCCAATACGAGTGCCAGCCAGGAAGAATTGCACGAGTGGGCTCTAGCCGCGCCATTGGGCAAGCCTGCAAGCGTTTGCCTTTGGATCCCTTGGGCCAATGGATTTCTCGGGTAGGGCTGTCACCTGACTGACGCCGACTCGTGTCTGCGTTGACCCCTAACCGGCAAAAGAATGACTGAACCTGTGGCATGGGCAATCTGAAAAGCCATTTCTGGTTTGCAGCCCCCACAAGAATGAAGAGAACCAACCACAAACACCTGTCAACTACACTGAAGCTGAGCCCCAAAAAAACAAACAACACTGACACACCAGCTGAGCCAAAAAAGAACTTGCAAACAGACAAACGACTAAAACACCATGCCAGTTCGTGTTTTTTTCTTCAAAGGTATGGACTCGGTTTCGTGGCCATCGCCTTGACGAAGTCGTTGGGCCACTCTGAGGGCTCCCTCGGAGCTCACCACTTGCGGCGCCGGACCCCTCCTCGGTGTTTTTTTTGTTTTTTCCCCGGGACTCGGAATGTTCTAGGGGGTGATTCCATTCTCAACGCCGCATTCTGCCATTTGTCCATTCCATTCTGTTTTCCAGGGGGTTGATTCATTGTTTCCAACCAGCGTTCTTTTCAAAAAACCAGATCCGTTTCCCCTGGGGTTATTGAGGTTTTTTAGAAAGAAGGATCCCTGGAAAGAATGAGGAAGGTACCCCTAGAAATTTGCATCCCGAAATATCTGGGGAGCCAACTGGCTCGATTCCGCTTGGTTTCCTCTTGGTGTCCTCTTAGTTTCCTCTTGGCAAGCCATTTCGGAAACACTCACCACTATCCACGTTGGTTTCCCTTTACTTAAGACCATCCCCAAAAGTGTCCCAATGCAGGTGTCCCTCTATTAGGCAACCATCAAAATTGCGGGCTTTCCAAATTCACCCACCCCACAAAGGGCAATGACCGTCAACAGAAAAGACACCACACCACCATTTTTGAGACACACCTTGGGGTTGGATGGACCTCAGCGGGTTTGGCTCAAATGTTGCACCCCCTTTTGGACGGTTTCATAAGGAACCAACAGGAAACCAACCGCCCAGAGCCCACCTCATGCCAAGTGGAAGGACGGCTTCGAGACCTTTGAAGTCCTTTGGATTCCCTTTGAAGCAGCCTGGAAATTGGAGTTAAGAATTATGTAAAGAATCAAGAAGGCGGCCGCAACTACTTCTGGCTGAGAAATATGGGGTGGTACCCCCTTTTGGTTGATTTTAAAGGGAAACCAACAGAAAATCACCTTGGGTCAACTGCTCAAAACTCGGACCGGTCCTGGTCGCCTCCTGCTCCAGGCGCTTCTGCATCTCCAGTGGCACGGCGGTTGCCGCCGCCGAGCCCAGGAGTCTCAGTCCGAATTCCCCGAACTCGCCCGGGGTCGACGGCTTGGCACCGCTTGGCACCGTGGAAGACTTGGGTCCCCTTCCTTGGCCTGGTAGCTGAAAAACCGTTTTTGTTGTTTACGGATGTTTTCCCCTGGTAGCTGAAAAACCGTCTTTGTCGTAAACAGGAACTTTGGGAGTTGTTGCTTTTGTTTTTTTTCCCCGATGTCCTCCAAGCATTGCAACGCTGCAATGTCAGTTGCAAACCTAAGTGTCAAACCGATTCGCTTGGATCAGCGTGCCACAAGTTGATGAGGTTCAATATCACAATATACTGCGATCCAGGTGATTGAAACGCTGATCCCACGGATATGCCATTTGTTCGCACGTGAAACAACCAGTTCTGCATGCCACGGCTCGTGACAACCAGCGCAGCCAGGGACACCGCCCTCAGCCTTGGCCAATGTAAAAAAGGCTTACTCCTCAAATATGTAGCACAACCGACTGCACTTGCTATCCGACTGCCGCAATAAATTTCAGTCCTGCTTCTCGCGTCGATCGCTACTCTTTCCATCTGGCTTGTCATGCAGGAGGATGCCAAATTGAGAGTAGTTCTCTCTTACATTGGTTGAAACGCTGTTCGCCTGCAATCTGAGCATCCAACTGCTCCAAAGGCTGAAACTGCTCCATTGGCTTGCTGCTGTCAGGGCCCTCCGCATGACCTCAGGAACGGTTTCTGAGTAGATCAATCTGGCTGCTAAGACGTCGTGGCCATGTGAAAGTTGCACAGCGCAAGTCACAGCACTTGGGTCACTACCTCTGGCACTCCGCGGCAGGCGTCTCTCCGTCCACCTCCGAGCACGAAAAACATCCGACTTCAGCTGCCCTCTTGGCCCTCACCTGAGTCGTAATCGAAACCCGGTACTAAAAAGGTCGACCCAGAACCGTGTAAAGAATCAAGAAGGCGGATATCCGCAGCAAATTGTGGTTGGGATTGTCGGATTGTCCTTACTAAGCTTCGTCAATCCCCGGTTTTGAGCACGTGCCTCGACCTGCCCCTCCCGTATCCAGCCTGGGACCCACGAAGAGGGGTCCTGAGCTCTGACGCGCCGCGAGTCACTGAGGCCGACTGAGGCTCTGCAGTCCTGGGATGAAGAGCGCCAGGCTCAGCAGCAGCCAGCGCAGAGCCATTGCTGGCTTTCGAGATGAGGCGTCGCAACTTCCTGACTTTAGGGTCATATGTCATGGCGCCCTGAGAAGGAATCCATGGTCGAATTCCTAAAGGATGACCGTTCCCTTTCCATCGTGGCTGCCGTTGTATCTGGCACGTGGTCTTGGTGTTGCAGTCGCAGTCGGAGACATGCTTTGCCGGCATGAAGTGTCAAGGGATCCCTGGATTGTGTGAAGGTCGGCCCGTCCATATCCCTACCTCTCAAAGCCGGTTGCCCGAGATATAATTCGGGTTGGCCGAGGAAAGTCTTCTTTTGCGCATCGCTGGTTGCATCTATTCAATCGGTAAAGTTGCATGCGGTGCATCTCCATGGTGACTTGGGCAGGTGCATCCTGGGCAAGACTTAACTGGTTCGTACATCTCAA